GGCAAGGTTGCATAAGGAGTTGGTGGATGGTTGGCAGGTGCTCTGGTGTGGTTTGCTCCTTCTTTTCTATAAAAAAAAATATATCGTCTCTTTTTCCCCTCCTTCTTTTTTGTGTTTGTTACTCTCTTGTAACACATCTATTCCTCGGCACTTATTTGACCTTATTGTGTTGCTAGTGCCGTAAAACTTACTAAAACTAATTAGGAGTTGAAGTACTATTCTCAAACATTTTGTACAAATAGGAAATACAACGAAGATGAAACAAAAGTGCAAGTGTCGTAAAACTGTTACCAAAAAAAAAAGAAGACAGGTTTCCGCACTGACATAATGAATGTGTCTGTGCTGTATTGGGTCTCCATTTTGTGCCATCGATGTGTTGGGCTATTGCGCGCGTGTGGCTGTCGGGAACAAAATTGCGTTCTTTCACCCCAGTGAGCAGCTTCAAAGACACTGTGAACCGTTGTGCCGTGGGAACCATTATGACAAAGTCCGGCTCGGGGGTGAGATCTGGGGTTTTGGGTCCCTTCATTTGTATCTTTGTCTTCTTTTTTTCAGCGATGCGATCATTCTTTTTCATCCTCTCCTCTCCTCAGCCTGTCCTTTTTTTTTTCTTCTTTCTGAAGGTAGATTCAGACGCTTTGGTATTCTCTGCTCCGCCAACTTTTTTTCAACGTTGCTCATGTCTTAATCTCTTTCTGGGGAATGCGGACGCCGTCGTTCGCGACTGGTCTAAGGTAGTCCACAAACCAACAACACCCCGCTCCGCCAAGACCACATTTTCAGAAAGAATAGAAAAAGAAAAAATTCCTCGTCTCCACACCCCACCCGCACTTGCCCATTTATTGCAGTAACGTTGACCTCTGTGTACCCACTCCCCGAGTATTGTCTCATGGATTGTGTGTGTGTCTGTGTGTCTGTGTGTGTGTGTGTGTGTGTGTGTGTGTGTGTGTGTGTGTGTGTGTGTGTGTGTGTTTTGCCCCACCCTCCCTCGCTTTACTTGAGAGTTTCCTCATAGGCTTGAGTCTATGTATAGGCTACTTGTATTTGATATCATTGATCGTCTTCTGTCATGGTTGCCGCTCTTTGCCCTTCTCCCAAGACTAAAAACTTCGATGCCAAGCGTGCACACCATGAGTGCTCAAATGAAAGGCAAAAAACCAATCTCGCCTGGGTCGAATGCGCGTGGCTCCTTTTGTGTGTGTATGTTACTCTTTTGTAACACATATATTTTGTCTGCACTTATATGACCTTATTTTGTTGCAAGTGCCGTAAAACTCTTACGATAACAAAAAAAAGTGTGCACGGTCTATGATAATATTATTGTACAAGTCTTGGTTTCCACTGCTTTTGTTCGTGTATTTGCGCACCGAGGAGGTGAAGGAGAGGCAGGAGGGG